CCCCCCGTCTGCCCTGCTCCCCCGCTCACCCAGCAGCCTCTGCCTGGCGGGGGCTTCGGATGCTCAGCGGCGACCGGGTCAGCGTGGGTCCCTGCAGCCCTGGCAAACGCCGCACTCCCTGCCCCACATCGCAGCCTCCTTCCTGCCGCATAGGGTGACAGGGCCTCAGGAAGGGTCCCCAAGTGGCCGGAGAGTCCCCGCCCATGAGGGAAGCCCGAGCCGCTGGCTGGGCCCAGCCTCCCCGTGGTCCTGCAGGCTCAGCTGGGGCGCGCAGTCCACCCGGCCTCCGAGAGCAGCAGCGGCCCCTTCGCCGCCTTCTGTGGCTGCGCCCCCTCCTTCCCCTGCCCGAGCTCGCTACAATGTAGCCGCGTGGCTGGGCTGCGCTGCGGACCACCCGCTACACCGGCGGATCGGGCTGGGGCCGGGCGGACCCTGGCTTATGCTGCCTCCCTATTTCCCTGGACATGTCCGGCTTTTTGGAAATTTCCCCCGGACGGGGATTTGAGTACCAAAAAGCTTGACATGTCCAGGGAAATCCGGACGTATGGTAACCCTAATATGAGAGGAATTTGTTTCATCTAAAGGAAAACATAGATATACAAGAAGCCACATGATTTCTAAGGAGAATAGATGTGGAACAGTTCAGGATTTAGTTTTTGTAAATCTTTTTACTTGCCTGTAGCTTTTGAAATGTTGATGTATAATTTTGTATAGTTTTAAATCCCATGAAGACATAATACAAATACAAATAGTTCAGTACATTTGTTGTATTTTTAAGTCCAAGTGTAATGTGAACACTTGTCCAAAAATCACTACACAAATGGTAATAATGACACCTTTGTTGGCAGTCTCAGCAGGGAGACTAAGGACTGAATGGGGTTGGGAGACTTAACTACCCTTTCACCCCAGAGGTGGTCTCAAGGCTAGGGGTGAGTCAGATTGGTGGGACAACATGAAGAAGCATGCACTGTCCATGATGTACTTGTTCTGTGGAAAGATAGGGATTTATTCCTTGTATGCACTATTTCATGTTATTGCACCCTACACACTTGCTATAGTGAAATAAGTTATTTGTTACACCCATTTTTCACTGCTGGCCAGGTTGATAATATATTTGGAAAGTGTGTATTGAAGTGACTAATAATTTAACTACTTCCCTTGTTTGTTAAATAGTCATAATTCCTTTTCTTTCTGCATTGAATAGAGTATTTTTACTTTAAAAATCAATACAGTATTTTTAAAAAGGGGAACATGAAAAAGTACAGAAAAATAGAAGTAGAGATGAATGGGAATATACTCGTAGAAGATTCTCCAATAACCACAGTGGCCTCAATTCTTGGGTTCAGCCAAGCTGTGGGAAGTGCAGGACCCAAGGGAAAAACGAAGGTACCTTTTGCAGCTCTCAGTTTTGGGACTGGCTGGGAGCTGATTTTACCTTTTGTTTAATGTACACCTTACTTCCCACAGCCCCAAACGGTCACTGAAGATCTCAGGGGCAGTACAGCCATGCTGTTTTCCCCCAGCTACACCTACCACAATAGTGGCTGTGTGAAGGGTATTAGAGCGATTTGGCTGGCTTGTTGCTATCCAGGGATTACTGTTATACTGGGGAAAAATTCTGTGTAGCCTGTTAATTACTTTTAATTCAAATCTGTTGAGATACTTATATAATTTTTTTTAAGAGCCACATGATACAGCTTAAGTGTGATAACTGTTCGGTTGTGCAGATGAGTCTACATGTCGTTTGGCTACGCAGACCTGTTTGAAAAGGTGTGTGATCCAGTTACAGCTGAGTTGGCTAATTTGTAACCAGTCAAACACTGAGCTCTTGACTCCTATTTTACTCCAGCAAAACTCGTCTTAATAAAATCCAAATTGTTTTTGCTTGCTTGTAAAGATCTGAGGAATTGTCCTAAAATAAACAATTTCTGCAGTCTCTTGTAAAGACTATGGGTTTTAGTCCGACTAATAATCCGCTAACAATTTGAGCTCCGTATTGTTATTCTTGGCTGCAAAGCAGAATGTTCCTTCCGGAATAACTTGTGCTGGAAACCCAGGCTTTATGGTGCCTGAGAAGATTACAGTGTCATTTCCCCTGAATCATTTGGGCAACAGAGGAGCTAGAAAACAGTGACTCACACATAGCTGAATCCTTTTCTCTGTAAGGGGAATTAGCTCAAATGGTAGAGCGCTCGCTTAGCATGCGAGAGGTAGCGGGATCGATGCCCGCATTCTCCAGAAGGTTTTTTTTTTAAATCAGAGAACATTTATTTCCAAGTGACCCGTTTTTTCAATTGTGAAGAATATGCATATTTTAAGTTATTTCTTGAGGCTTTCTAATTTTAGAAAGCGATTTTTGGGGGCGTTTTGTTTTGTGGGAAGGTTTGTGTGTGATCTGTTTGCTTGAAGATTATCACAGCTGCATGCACAGAAGAGAGAGGTAATTCTTGACAGCTGAAAAAAATGAAACAAAAGGACTGCAAGAGGGTTGCCACTTGTTGCTTGTGATTTTTGTCTTTGATATTTCACCCCTCTAATCACTTGTCCTTATTTTCTTTTTAAATTCTAGGTGCATCCTGCTCTTAACATTTTTGTAAGGGGTCAAAATAAATGTATATTAAATTAATCCACCACATTTTAATAAAGGGATGTTCGCAATATGCTTGAATGATATATTTTGTAACTCTTTATTGAAGATAAACATAATTTTGACAGCACAGATTATTTTCTTTCATAAGTATTGAAAGAATGTGCACAATGCAAAGGATAAGGCGATTCAACAGAGGTTGAATTATAGCAGGTATAAATATAATTTTTGTAAAAGCTATGTCAGGGATGATTTTTTTAATAATTTGCAAATATGGTTAGGGCAGAGGGTTATGTCATGTGTCTGTTCTTATAGCATGGAAAAGCAAGGTGACCAAGAGGCGTGTGGCAATTCCAAGAGAAATTGGTGTCCATAAAAACACCTTTACATTATATTAAAGAGGCAGAATGAGTGAGGTAATCTCTTACTGTGCCATCTTTTGGTGAAAGAGACAAGCTTTTGAGCTTACATAGACCTGTTCTTCAGATCTGGGAAAGGTACTGAATGTTACACTATGAGGTGGAACAGATTAGCATTATCTAACATTATTTTACTCTTCTATAAACTATGTGTTCAGTTGTCATGGAATGTGAGCATTTTCATATCTAGTACTGAGACCTCATGTTCATCTGATTATCCACCACAATCTCTAATCCTTTTCAGAGTCTCTGCTTCCCAGGATAGTCTCTCCCATCCTATAAGTATGGCCTACATTCTTTGTTCCTATATTTACATTTAGCTGTATTAAAATGCATATTGTTTATTTGTGCCCAATTTA